ATCTTGAATCGTGCTTTGTAATTAAGGTCTATGTGTTCCTCCAGATCTTATATTTGAGTTAAATGTTCACTTTTCAAAGAGAAAAATTAGGGATTTGACGACTGCCTTCCTTTCTGGCAATAGAATATACATGCTGCCTGTCAAAAAAGATTGAGTGCCTGAGTTTTTAAGATAGGGAGTGATAGATTGTTCAGCATGAAATTGCAGACTTATTTGCCCAATATCATAATCAACTAGTGACAGCAGTTTTCTCCCCCCACAGAAACCCATTTGCGAAATGCATCTGGTAGTCTAGCCGCTGAACCTTAACTCGAATGCCATGACTTGTCATTACTCTTTGTAACCTCTCTTTAGTCCATGTCTTGCTTTGTAATAATTTCAGAGTCACCAAAAGAAGTGAAGTTATGTAGTATGGGTACATTTTCCCATAGTATTATTACTATTAATAATAATAATAGTTCTCACCACGTGCTCTTGGGAAACAATTCTCCATGGATCTCTTGTATTTCTGCGTATCTCCTAAGCAGGGGCACTGACTCCCTTTGTTCTGACCTATCTTTTCAAAGATATTTGTTAGTGAACAGCCTTGGGAGTTAGAGGTTGTGTCTCCTTCTGGAGCAAAGAGCAGGCATGGTTCCTGTCTCTTATAAAATATCTGGGTTCCCTAAGCCCAGGGTTCCTCTCCTGTAATGCATCCCACTGTATGTGCAGTTACCGTCTTTGCATTCCTCTGTGGGAATCAAAGTCAGGGAACTGGCACAAGGGCTGATGCTCTGTCTATTGCTATTGTTGTTAAATAATGAAGTCCTTCATTCTCTGCCTCTGACCAGGAGTCTTGTGTCATCAGCCAGCATTTACGAAAGAGTAGCAGGCAATTGTGGTAGCTTACAAGTAGGGTAAATCCTCACGGCTTTCATAGTTCTTGGCATATACCAGGAACTGTTTTCAAAACATCAGTATACAAATATTTATATATAACATACATTTGTTAACATCCTCATGAGGTAGGTATTGCTATTATCCTCATTTTACAGATGAGGAAGCTGAGACACAGAGACATTATCCAGGTAGGCAGTGGATCTAGTGTTTGAACAAGGCAGGGGTTCTCGTATCTGTTCTCTGCGTCCTTGCTCTCCTCTCTTGAGTGGGGGACCCCAGGGCTTGCCTTAGCTACTGAATTTCACTCTGAAAATGAAGTGCTGCTTGGTACCTGTCCAAGAGAAGACCGACTGGATGTTGGTGTTCATGCTGCTCCTTCTAAAAAATTCCAGGGAGTTGCTGTGTATTCAATGCACGAACATCTATAGAGCACCAGTGTGTGCCGTTCCAGGACTCCCAGGAGAAGGAGAAGAGAAAAGAAACCCCTCTGGCTGCTGCCTGTGGTGTCATCCATGCCTTTTGTACCCAGGGTGCTGGGTGTGGGGATTTAGCCAGGCTGGGGATGGGGGTGAGGATCCTCGTTCCCTCTCGTAGTTTCCACCAGACAATGCATTTGGATGTCCTGCCCGAAGTCCACCTTCCTCCCTCTGCCCTGGTCCACTCTTCACAGGGCAGCCGCTCCTTACCTTCTGCTTTCCAACAATACAGTAAATTATTATTACTACTACTAATAAAACTATTATTATTATTATTAATAGTAAAAAAAAAACCCAATGGTAACACTGTCATTCAACAAGTACATGTCGTGTGCTTACTTTGTAGCTGGTGCCATGATGGGCACTTGGGATATACAGTGAACTAAACTAAATCCTTGCCCTCTGGGAGCTGACTCAGCTGAGGAGACAATGAGCAAATAGACAAATATAAAATAATACCAGGTGTGGATAAGTTTGAGGAAGAAAAGCAAAGCAAAGTGAGGGTACAGAGAGTGACAGCAGGGGTGCTATTTAAATGGCAGTGGGAGGGCCCTCTGAAGAGGTGACATTTGAGCCAAGACCTTAGGGAAGGGATCACTCCTTCCTGCCCGACAGATATTTGCTGAGTGCCAACTAGATGCTGGGCACTGCTGTAGGCTCTGGGGATACTGCAGTGAACAGAAGATGCGCGTCTCTTTGAGGAGAGACCGGTGAAAAAAACCTGGAGCGTGGCGATGGTGGAAAGCACTCTGGTGCAAAATATAGCAGGGAAGGGGGGAGGGGCATGGACAAGGGTGTTGCGAGCCGAAACTGGGGAGATCAAGGAAGGTCTCGCTGAGAAGGTGACATCTGAGCAAAGTCCTGAAGGAGGGGAGGGAGTGAACCAGGGGGATGACCGGGACAAGAGTGTTGCAGGGAGAAGGAACAGTGAGGGCAAAGGCTCTGATGTGCTTGGTGAACGGTACCCAGACCTACGTGGCTGGAGCAGAGAGAACTGACCAGAGACAGTAGTATCCGGTCAGAGTTAAGGACACCGGCTTTCACTCTGTGTGGGATGGGAAGCGATCAGAGGGTCCTGAACAGACGGCCATTCTCTGACTTATGAAATGACAACTGTTAGAACCCTCAGGACAGCTGCCGTTTATTAGCGCTGCTGCGCCAGTCACCACGGGTGCCAGCAGGGAACCCTTGCAGCAACGCTCCAAGGTAAGTGGTACCCTTGTTCCCACAGTACCGTTGAGCTACTCGAGGCAAAGCATAATCGAGGCACTTTCCCCCAAATCGCACAGTCACTCCCCAAAGGATTCTTTTTCTCTTAGCCCAGCTGGGCCCTTGACGCAGCTCAGCCATCCTCAGGCCTGTTGATTCTCATCTTTTCCACGTCTCGTTCTCCAAAGAGTCAAGGATGTCTCCACCTCACTCCTCTTTCTGCCTCGTGGGTCCCACTCTTATAAATGTATCTGCATCCTTGACCTTGGCATCTAGGCACCCCTTCTTTCTTCGAGACCCTCCCCTGCCCGCTTCCCTGCACAGTCCGCGTCTGGCAGGCACAGGCCCAGCTGCAGCCACGTATGTGGGTTCTGTGTCGGGTTCACAGCGTGGAATGTGAGGGGAAGGGCTGCGAGCCCTCTAGGTCCTATCCTCTCCTTTTCTTCACAGTCACGTTTCTGAAGCACAGTACCCACTGCCTCGCTTCCCATGGGTCTGGCCTCCTCCCTCCTCACCCCACTGAAGTGGGCCTCACTGATCCTGCCCTGGAGCTGCTAGTAGCTGGGGCTCAGGGACGCATTCACACTTTCTCCATCTGGACTGCTCCAAGGTGGGGACACTGGGGACAGCCACCTCCTCGGACCCCTCCCCACAGAGCACCCCGTCAGCCTTTCTGATGGCCCTGTCTCGGGATCCTAGACCCCTGCCCCCAACACCGGTACACTGTAAGGTCTGTTCTTGACCATCTTCTCATTCTGTGGGCATCAGCCCATGGTTCTTGTACTCATGGACATTCCAAATTGTATTTCCAGCCCCATGTTATCTCCTCCATTTTAGACTCTCCAACTGTCTACCTGACTTTCCACCTGGATGCCCCACGGATGCCTGGACTCTTGTGACACCATCTGAGTCAACATAACTGCCTCCACCTACCTTCTCATCCTCTGCCCTCCCTCTTTCTCGCCATACCTTCCGATTCGTTTTCCAGCCCCGTTGATTCTACCCACCTCAAAGTCTGCCACCCCCCCCTTCCCATTCTCACCGCCAATGCCCTGGCTGCTTCCGTCTGTCACTCACTCTCCCCTAGATTATTACAATGGCCTGGTTACAAGTCTTCTTATCTGCTGCTCAGTGATTCTCAGAAAGATCACCTGGGATGCTTCTTGAAAGTGCATATTCTCAGTCCCCAGCCCCAGAGAGTCTAGTTCAGCCCGGACTCAGGATTCAGGCATCTGCATTTCTAATAAGCCCCCCTGGGTGATCGCAATATGGGTGTCCCCAACGACTCTAAGAAACGACATCACTTAGCCTCTTCTTGTTCTTATCCATTCTCCACATGATTAATTACTGCAACTATTACTACCCAACATTTCTTAAACACTCACCATATCTGAAGACTGTGTTGAATCCTCCATGTGCATTTGTCCCACTAAACAACTCTTTATTTTAACTACTATCATTACCCCATTTTACCTTTAAGAAGACAGGCACAGAGAGCCAAGTTAACTAGCCCGAGGGCACAGTCTCTCTGTGACAAAGCCAGGTTCTTGATATTACATTTTACCATCTCCTTTGCTCCCCAGGGTCCGGCTGTACCGAATGACTTCAGTTCTCCAAATACACCTTGTTGCTCTATGCCTCTGAACCTTTGTCCAGGCAGTCGCTCTCTTTCTAATGACCATCTGTATTCGTTTTCTAAGGCTGTGTAACAAATTACCACAAAGTCAGCAGCTGGGCACAGTGTGGCTGGTTCTCTGTTTAGGTTCCCACAAAGCTACAGTCAAGGTGTTAGGCGGGGCTGTGTTCTCACACGGAGCTCAGGGCTCTTTTCCAAGCTCACTGGTTGTTGGCAGAATTTAATTTCTCCTCTTTCCTTGCTGGCTGTCAGCCAGGGGTTGCTCTCAGCTCCTAAAGGTTGCCCAGTTTCCTTGCCGCTGGCCCCCTTCATCTCTAAAGCTAGCAAAGGAGAATCTTGCCCATGATAAATCCTTTCCATGCTTCAAATCTCTTTTGCCAGGAAAAGCCTAATTGCTTTTCAAGGCTCACCTGATTAGGTCAGGTCCACCAAGGATAATTTCCAGATTTTAAGATCAGTTGATTTGGGACCTTAATTGTACCTGCAAAATCTCTTACCACAGCACCTAAATTAGTATTTGATTGAATAACTGGGGGAATGTGGGGGTGGGGCTCAGGGGGAGCTGAGAACTTTGGGGGCCATCTTAGAATTCTGCCTACCATACCACCTAATCTTCAAAATTTAGCTCAAGGATTTCTGCCTTCCTCAATGCCTCTAGGCACTTAGGTCCACCTCTGATTCCCCCACAGCATCCAACACACTTAAAATTTGTCCACTGTTCTAACCTCTCCATTTCCCCCCAGCTGAGCTGTGAATTTCTTGAGGGTCAGAACTAAGCCCTGGTCATCTTTGTATCCCCAGCATCTACAACAGCATCCAGCTCAATACATGCTGTATTTGCTGCCTGAGAGTGAGCCGGCTGCCCAAGCCAGGTCTCCAGGTAAGAAGAGCATTTTAATTAGAGTTGCCTAAGTTGCACGTAAAGTGCTGTTGATGGGGGCCAGAAAACGGGAAACATCAATGGTACCCGATGCTCCCAAGGCTTTTAGCGATCAGTGGGCATGCGCCGCCTCGGAAATCCCGCGGAGAACCAGCCACTAGGTGTCACTCCCGATTCAGTAAAGAGAGCCCCGGATCTTGGAAAGCAGTTTAGGCTTTTCTAGTGAAGGGAGCTGGTTAGATGCCCCCCACCCATTGTTTTCTTCTGGTTCACACTCCAAAGCATCCCCTGTTCCTCAACTCCCTCCACTGACACAGTCTGGGTCTAAAAAAAGGACAACAGAATCGAGAACTTCTAGGGTTAGGGCCACCTGACCATCTAATTCAGTCTCCAGATTTTGCAACCAGAGTGGAGGGCGGGGAACAGAGCCAGCTTCGGCGCCCACGTGGGTGCGAGCGCCCCTCCCAGCTTTGGGCTGCTGCCAGGAGGCACAGGTGGGCCCCGCCTCCTGGCCTAGAGGGTGTCCCGGCTGGTCCCGGGGGCTGCACCGCGGTGTGCCCCCAGGACCAGTTCCAGGGACTTGGGGCGTTCTTAGCCTCTTTTCCGGCGCGGAAAAGGCACCTGCTTCTGCGCCCCAGACCCCAGAAAGGGGAAGATGACGCGGTCACAAGAGGGTCCTAAGGGCCCGATAAGACCTGCCATTTCTGATCGTCTCAAGCAGTCTCTTTTTTCTTTGGACTTTAAAGATGAGAAGCGGGGGGAGCACTGCGGCTTCCCGGGACCTGGGCCGTCAGTACCTGCAATTAACCGCAGTCAGTCCCCCTTGGGCCTGGAAAAGTTCGGGGCTGTAAGGGCGGGGGTCGGAAAACACTTGTGAAAAACACTTCCTGGGCGAGAGTTTGAGACGCTTTTTCTTCCCCTCCACTTTTCCCCCTGGAATAAGTTAATATTTACTCTCGAGAGGTTCGGGACAGATAGGACGGACACAACGCCTGTGCGGACGCATTTTCCTTCACCCCCGGCAGAGGGCGCACCCCCTCCGCGCCCCCTCCCCGCTGGGCAAACCCACTCCCCGGTCACCCGCCCCAGGCCCGGCTTGGTCCAGGCTGGACCTCCAACCCCAGGTGCCTGCAGCCCTAACCTGGGGATAATTTCAAAGGCACTTCCGTCAGACCTTGCTTATAGCCTTTGAATATCTTGTTTCCTTTGCTCCCAGCAGACTTACTGTTCATCTTGTGAACATTAAGTGAATATTAAAATTCCTTTGCACTTCCTACAGCGCTGGGTAATCGAGAGCTTACCTGACTGGATGGAAATGGAGCTAAGGAAGCTGGCTCAGGGTCCAGACTTCTGCTAGGGCTCATCCACAGAGTGAAAAATCTTTTCTATCAATACAATACTTTCCTTTAAAATTTGCAAAGGAGATTTCCCATGTAAACCTTGATGGATCCTGTTTGTTAAGCTCTTTCCTCTTTGCGTGAAAAGGTGGACTGATTCATTTATTTCTCAACAAGTATTTTATTGAGTGCCTTCTGTGCTCCAGATACCGGGGTGAAGAATGCAGGCTTGGTTCCCTGATTTTGGTGGAGCTAATGCTCTAGTAGGGGAGATATACTGAACAAATAATTGCAGGAAACATTAATTTGTTTTGAGAGATATGCTACAAAGGAGAAGCAGAGGCTGCTGGGAGAGGGCGCCAGCAGGGAACCAGCTGAAGCCCTCACCTGAATCTTAGACACAACTTTCCTCCTTATTCACCCTGATGCTGTCTTCCCTGCCAACTGATACAAATCATGTCTCCCACACCTGCCCCAGAAAAGATGAGTCAGTGCCTTCAAGGCTGCCCATCCCCAGGTGAGGTAATAGAGTCAGGCTCTTGCTGGACTCTCCTCTTTTCTCCTTCACACTCCTGGGCTGAGGGCCACTAGGCAACGCATTAACTATTTTGCATGATGAAATTTACATTACAAATATCTCCTGAGGCCTGATGACTAACAAGGTCTGAAAACAACAATTCTGGGTACTGCCTCCTCCTTCTCCTCAGTATTTATTAAGCACCTACTAGGAATAGGGCTGGATGTTCAGCCAAAGATGCAAAAAACCACTGGAGACAAAAGGAATATGCTAAAGGCTGAGCAGTGGTACAGGCTAATAGCTCCCAGGGTTAGAGACTCTACAAACAGCTAAAAATGAGAGCTTTATTAGTTAGGATCAGGTCCAGTTAATTCGGTAAAAGGGTAAAAGAAGTTCAACATAACAGTGGCTTAAAGAAGATAGAAAAAAGCTGATCTGTACTGTGAAAGTCTGGAGCTAGGTACTCTCGGATTGATAGGGCAGCTCTGCTCCAAGAAGCTCTCAGGGACCCGGGGACTCCTTCTGTCTAATTTCCCTGCTATGCCTAACCTCCATTCCCAAGGTCATGGTCTTCTCAAGGTCCAAGACGGTTGCTCCAGTTCCAGCCATCACATCCAGCAGGAGGGGGAAAAGGATAATGAAGAGGGGCAAAGGGTGGATGGTAGATAACTTATAAAGAAGGTTCCCAGAATAAGACTCATCCACTTATAAGTTATTGGACAGAACTTAGATACATGGCCCTTATAATTGCAAGGAAGATGGGATATACAGGTTTTATCTGGGGGAGTCAAAACTACAGATTCTGTTACTAGCAGTCTTTGCCATTGAGCCTGACGTAAGGGGTCAAATTTTAATTTTTGCCACTACGTATAAAATACCCTGCCAATTCTTCTTCCTTAATATATCACAAATCCATCCTCAATGCCACAGCCCTTCGTAATTTCTCACCTTGCATTAACTCAACGGCCTCTGTCTGTTGCCAGGGTGATCAGTCCAAGATGCAAATGTGCTCATATCAGCCCTCTGCATAAAATGCCTTGGGGATCCCTATTGCCTTGAAAGAAAATGCAAACTCCTTAGCAAGACTAAAAGTCCGGTTGTCATCTCACCCCAGTATCTTCTCTAGCCTCATCTCTCATGACTTTTCCACATGCACCCAACAATCCAGGCGCATTAGATTACTGGCAGTTCCCAGGATGTTTCCTTACCACCCTCTCAGTCTGGAATATTTTCTCCTCCATTCTTGGCAGCTGGCCAATTCCTACAGTCCTTTACTAACTTTGCTGAGGTTAACCTTCATCAGAATCTTCACCAATTTTATGTCCTACACCTCTGGTATCTTCCTGTTCTCCCTGCTACCTCAGTACACAAAGCCAGACCTATTCAAAGAACAGGATGTCGTTGCCTGGGCAACAGTGAGTACCAGCCAATGGTTGGATCACCAGCTGGATTCACAGTGCAGCTTCTGGCGGTGGACTTCTAGTTGGCACTGTTGGCCATGCCCTTTTTCTTGATAGACTCTCCCCCCTCCTTGGTCATGCCTCTCCCCTGGCCCTCTCTACCCTGTCCCCTGTTTCTTCTTATCCCGCTCACCCTGAAATGTTGATGTTTCCTAGAGATCAGTTTTTGCTCTTCTCTTGTCATTTCACATACATTCCCCAAGACTTTTGATTCCATTTCAAGACTTCAGGTGCCGCCTACACCTATGCTTCTAAATCTGTATCTCCAGATACATTTTCTCTTCTGAGCTTTGGATGTGACCGTCCAACTATATACTGAACACATGGAATAGGGAGGAGCAATTCCCCATGAAGGAGGCGATGCAGCTTCACCCGCTCACCCCCACCCCAGAGTATTGCCCATGCAGGGCAGGAATCTGCAGAACGACCCTCTGCTTTGCTTGCTTCTTGGTGCAGGGTGCACATCCCACCTAGACAGAGGCACCAGCCAAGTCTGGATGCTGGGAAGGATGCCTGTAAGCAGCAGGTGCTTACAGATATGTGATGAATGGGACTGAGTGGAGGAGAAGGAGAAGAACTATCACCAAACTCCGTCAAAGACACTATTCAATGTTCGGGTGGGTGGGTGGCCTGTTGAGGCCTCGCCCTGACTTGGCTGTGGTCACAGCTGGCACATTCCAGGACAGAGAAGCCATTGACACGGGTATTTACTTCAACTATTGCCACCCACTCCCATCTCACATGCATCCCAAGCTCCAGGTATGAAAAACTACTCTCCTGCCTGAGAGAGGGGCTCCATATCCCACTCGCCCGAGTCAGCTTCATTGCAAACCTGATGCCATGATTTGGGGTCCATTTGGGTTGTGTGGAAATGATCTCTAGGGAGTGTAAGGCCATTGATGAAAGCATCTGGGTCTATTTCATAAGGCTTGTGTTCCTGCTGGGTAGGGGCTCAGTGGAGATTGCTTTTTTTTTTAACTGAAGTATAGTGGATTTACAATGTTGTGTTAGCTTTTGGTGTACAGCAAAATGATTCAGTTATATATATATATACACACACACATATATATATGTGTGTATATATATATATACACACACATATATATACATATATGTGTGTATATATATATACTTTCTCATATTCTTTTTCATTATAGATTATTACAAGATATTGAATATAGTTCCCTGTAAATGGACATTTCTGAGACACCTCTAATAAGCTCAGGTTTGACCAAAGATCTCCCTCTGGAGAGGTGTTCTTTTCTCCTTTCCTCCGGGCAGCATTCTTTTCATTATCACAGAAGACCTCTGAGGCTGTGAGGGGGAAAGAAGGGCTGTCTGGCTCACTGGCGCTGAGAGAAATGGGACACATCATCAGAAAGATTTGCATATTGTAAAATTTAAAGGCTCTAAGGGAATACTGTGGCATGCATATATATATATATATATATATATATATATATATATATATGAAACAACCTAAATTTCCACTGACAGATGAATGGATAAACAAAATGTGGTATGTACCTATAGTAAAATATAATTCAGCCTTAAAAAGGAATGAAATTCTGATACATACTCCAACATGGATTAACTTTGAAGACATCACGCTAAGTAAGACAAGACAGACCCCAAAGCACAAGTATTGTACAATTCCACTTATGTGAGATATGCAGAATAGTCAAATTCATAGAGACAGAAAGTAGAATAGTGGTCACTGGGGGCTGGAGGGAGAGAGGAATGGGGGACTATTGTACAAGGTTTCAGCTGGGATGATGGAAAAGTTCCGGAGATGCATGGCAGTGCTGATAGCATAATGATGTGAATGTACTTAATGCTACTGAGTTGTATACTTTCAAATGGTTAAAATGGTAAATTTTATGTTATGTGTATTTTACCACAAATGTATATATCCACAAATGTAAAAAATGTATATCTGAATCACTTTACAGATGTATCTTTTACTTGTCTAGCAGCTGTCAGAAATTGTAGTTGAATTGCTTTTAAAATGTCTGCTATAAAGTTGTTTACATCAGAGCGCCAGTTGGTCCCAAAACAATTTCAAGGAAAGGAGAGTGTGTGTGAATGTGTGTATGTGTTGGAGTGGGAGAGAGCCTAGGTTACAATCCAGTGAATAAAAAGAACAGGTAATGATCCTTTAAGTTGGAATTAACTACTACTTACATGTTCCTATAAATTTTGTTTACACACTTTCCTAATGGCAGGAGAAAGCTGAATCACTTTGTATGAAAAAATAGTCCATGAAATTCAACTTTTCTTTCCAAATAAACTTTAGAAAGAATGTATATGAGGAAATAAGGAGACGCCAGTCCAGCCGGCCAGGTCAATGGAGTCAGTTCAGTGGATTCACTTGGTAACCAATGCTGCAGTCAGACTCACATCCTCTCAGGGATGTGCAACATCATTTACGTTAGCATCTTCCCGGTGCCTTATCCATCTAGCAAGCAATAAGCACTTGCTGAATTGAAAGTTGAGCGGGCTAACTTTCCCTAGAGTCAAAGCTTTAAATTAAGAAAAAGAAATGCATCTAATAATAGAATTTCAGACATGTGCCATGACAGGAAACTACTCATCTAGTCCAAAAATGTGTCTTAAAAAAAAAAAAAATAGTAAAAGAGAAATAAAGTTGGATGTCTTAAAAAAAAAAAAAAAAAAAAAAAAAAATGAGGTGTTTAAAAAAAAAAAAAAAAAAGGTAAAACTGAGGTGTTTAAAACAGGTAGAGAAGTCCCCCACATTCTAGCTGTTCTCTTTCTTCTGTATGGAGATTTTGCAGAAAATTGCAAATGTCCTATTTCACCAAATTCAAAGTCTGAGGCACAAACATACCTAACTTTGTCAGTTTTAAATGTAAAACTTTAGGTAAAAGCAGGTGTATGAGCAGCTGTCACCCAGATGGCTGTGGAAGTGAAATTCATTCATTCCATGTATGAGCACATGATGTGTCAGGCAGTAGGGGCAGAAAATGAATTAAGTATAACCCCTCAAATTCCTGTAAGCAGGGCTGGCTACAGAATTTGGGGCCTGGTGCAAAATGCAAATGCAGAGCCCATTAGAAAATTAGGGAGAATTTCAAGTTGATGACAGCAGAGCATTAAGCCAAGCCTGGGGTCCTTCTAAGTACGGGAGTGGAGGGCGGCCAGGCTGGGTCAACTGCAGGGGCTTGGCCTGTGAAGCCAGGCGCCTTCAGAGTCAGATGCTGACATAAGGCTCCAGTCAGTCTGTGGACGACCCCGGGAGAGCAGGGTCCCAGCAACAGGGTGTCTCATTGCCACGATTATACTGCATCTCACTTTGACTTCAGCAAATCTCTTGTACCTTTTAACACACGTTTGAACACCTGTCTATGGCACAGTTCAATGAGTGTTCTTGCGCTAATATCCTCCAATTCAATCAGGTTATAATCTTGTCATATTCCGTTTTTGCATCTCCATTTCTACCCCAACTCCCCTATAACAGTCAGCAGCAGGCCAGGTAAATAGTAGGTACACAATATACTCATTGAAAGGCTCAACATTTGATTCTGGAATAAAATATGGGTGGGATAGGATGATCATGAAAACTAATTTAATTCTCATAAATAAACTTTTGTCTCCATTTCAGAGAAGAGAAACTGAGGTTCAGAGAGATTAAGGAACTTGCTCAAGGTCACACAGGTGGTCAGGGATGGAGCAGGGATTCAAACCTAACTTCAAAGCTCTTGAAATTCCCACGAAGTTGCTAGCCCCCTACCCCACCCCCTGCCTCTCCGCTTCCTAAAATCTGATGAAAAGAACAGAAATTATTCTCAAAACTAAAGAGTACAAGTTTTCTATCTTGATGCCATTTGGAAATGGGTCTTATAATTTCTGAACCCAGGATAGAAAATACTCAGGGAGATAGTACTTCAGTGCACATGATAAGAAAAGTATCGACGCTAAGTCCAAATCAATTCAATCACTACTTATTGAGCAACAATTAAGTGTAAGAAGCTGTGCTGGATGCTGCGGAGGACACGAGATGAACAGATGGAGAAAATGCCCTGAGAGAGAAGGTTAAGACATGCACACAGATGGACAGAGAATGGAAATAGAATATAGTGTATCCACATGGACACCCGAAGAAATTGTCTGCCTAGAAGAACAGGCTAGGCTTTTGGAAGAGGGTGGTGCTTTTGGCCTAGAACAATGGGCAGGATTCTGGGAGGAGGAGGGACCGGGGGCTGTCCACGCAGGATGGGGGGTGCACGGTGTGTGTCTGGAGGACAGATGGAGTCTTACCCCTGAGCAGGGCTGAGTGCTGGTGGGGCGGGCACAGTGGAGGAAGCTGTCAGGGTGACTTCATGGCAGGCCTTGGACCAACACTGGGGCACCTGTACTCCCTTTAGGAAGGTGAGCCTCCGACAAGTGTTAACCGGGAGACAGATATGATTAACACTGGGCACTAGGAGATTGAAGCTGGCATCCGTGAGAGGGAGGGAGGGTGGGGGGCAAGAGCTGAGGGGGGTACCTGAGGCTAATCCAGGTGAGAAACAGCCCAGGCCTGAACTTGGGTGAGCTTAGACGATGTTTTAAAGACTCTTTAGAAGATACTTTCTCATTAAAAATTAAAAAAAAAAATCTGTGAAGGGGAGATCACATGTAGGTAAAACATCCCTTTGTTCTTACGAAGTTTCTGGAAGCGAGACAAATTCAAGATACTATCGCTATTATTCAGCCTAAGGATATTTGTCTACAATTCTTGTTGGCTCCTGTGGGATCTGGCTCCCCTGGACTCCCCAGCAGCAGCCTGGCCTCTCAGGAATATAGCCATCACACAAGGAGGAACCCATTGCGTTAAACCTCTGCACTTATGTGGCGTCTTCTGTAACATTCCACCCTGCTTGGGCAACAGGACAGTTTAAAATGCACAGTATTTTAAGTAAGAGATCATTTATGGTGGGTAGAAGATCAGATCAACCAAACCTGCAAGTCAAGCCTGCTTTAGAAATCTTCCATTCTTCGGGTATCAAAACAAGCTCAACAGGGCAACCCTTGGCCAGGAGACAGGACCAGTTTCTTAAGATCCCAAGGTCCTGGGAGAAGGCATGGGAAGGGGCCTTTCCTTGGCCTCCCATGGCACGCCTTATAACTGCAGGTCTGTCATTACGGGAGACAGCACAGGGATGCCACACGGAGCAGAAAGGAAAAAAAGCAGAGAAAAATCTGACCCATCAGTATAGCTCAAAGTAATTAAAATAATGTTTTGTTTGTGAAATCCTAGCAGATTGGAAAATGACACGCCAATCAGGGAAGCATGTGGAGCCCAGGCTGCTGTAATTCTCACCCTGCCTAATCTGCTAACACATTCTGGAGCTGTGGCGACCACAGAGCAGTGTCTGCATCGAAGGAAAGCCAAGCAGCCCATCTATTACCTCCAAGAAGGGAAAATGCAGTAAATTCAGGAAAAACACTACTTCAAAATGTCAGTGCTGCGCAATGCTTTCAGGAGAGGGGACGTGGAAAAACAGCCAGCAGGCGCTGGCTGGAGGAGCCTGACAGAGGTGACTTGGATCAATCGATGCTGATGTGTCCCAGCTAGTCAGCCAAGAGTTGCAAAGCTGGTCAGCTTCTTGGTGCAGAAAAGGAGACCTGGGGTGGCTGGCAGATGGAGATGGTGTGGCTAATTCCGAGGTCCAGATGGGCTTTCTTGCTCTGGGCGTCCACCAGGGCTTCTAAACCACCTCCGGAATTAAAGGATCCTTTCTCCTTGTCTTCAGCAGTCTGTTGGAAGGAAAGCTTATTTGCCCCACTCCCTACAAAAGAGCGGACCCTTCCTCCACTCCTCCCTGGCGAATATAACTGGAGGAACAGTCCCAGCCCTTCTTTCTAGGCTTCCTGGGGAAGATGGGGAGGAGGCATGGTGCCTACCCACCTTGCTCAGCACTTCTGCCTGCCCACAGGTCCCCAGTTTTCCTCCACTCTGCCACGGGTCCTGTATGCGATGCCCCATGGCAGTTTATCCTGTGACCAGTGCGCGATTTCATCTTAGTGGGAGGAGAAGATGCTTCTTTGGGCCTTGGATCCCAGCCAGGTCTTCAAACCAGCCTTCTCAGCAAGAAGGTCATCCATGTGATCTTTGATTCTTGTGTATTACTTCCCCATTGGTTCAGAATCCAGAGGGGAGGAGAAATAGGATTCATTTACACCCTCAAATCCCCAATGCTGTGGAGAAACTCAGGAAGTGAAATGCCAAGTATAAGTGTCAGTAACACTTTCCTTGTTTCCCTTGCCTTGAGTTGCTATGAAAGACCAAGGTCAGAATTTAGCACTGAGAGGGCACCTATTCTCTACAAAAGCAATGTTGTGAAGGTTTAAAGGTACAAATGATTGGAACAGGAAAGCTCGGTGGACCCAAGCCAGGCTCTCTGAGGAGAACACTGCCCCCTGTGTTCTTTAGGAGGAGACAGTGCTTTGGCCCCCTGCCCCCTCCACCCATCTTCTCTTGTCTGTCACACTGGGCCACCCGTGATAGATACACTCATGGTCTGAGAAGGCCTTTACCTTTCCCAGCGTGACATAGAGCATCTGGGCCTTCCGTTTTCCTCTGATTTACTGAGCTGGCCCAAGGGCCTGTCTAGGTCACCCTCCCGTGCAGAGACGTCTGGCAGAGTCCAAACCTTTTCAGCTCTCAGCGGTGATGCGGAAAATCACAGATGCCAAGAGCTCACTTGGGAAGCCAGAGGGGACTTCTGAGGACAGTGTCTTTAATGTGGGGGTCAGAAAACACTAATCTCTCCAAGCTTTCCCCTTGTAAGTTTTCTCGTGGCGGGGCGGGTGATTAAAATTAAGAGAAGATTGAAAATGTTGCCGTGAGGTGACCTATATAAATCATGACTTTAAAAAAACTTTCTGGGACCGGCGGTTGACTTTAAGGGGATAAAAAAAAAAAAATCTGTCACGGGACAGGAATCTGGCTACGGTTTTGTGGTGATTAAATTACCCCCAGGGACTAGAGTCCTTACACTCTGAGGGGCAGCCCTGGAACCAGGTACATCATAGTAGAGAGGAAAGGACACAGCTTTGGGAATGAACAGACCTGGATTCAAAGCCAGTTCTGCTACTTACTAACTCAGCAAGTTACTTAACTTTTTTGAATCTCAGTTTTCTTATCTGTAAAATGGGGATAAAGTATCTCTCCCTCAATCACTTTATGGCTAGAATTAAATAAATAACATACACAACTTCTTAGTATGGTATCTAATATATAGTAAACATTCAGTAGCTATTGATTTTTCTTATTGTTTGCATAAAAATTCTATCCCTTCTCTGTTAATACTCATAACTAACAATTATAAGTGCTGATTATCTGCCAGGTTGCTAAGCAGTGCTCAGTGCTCCAGAATTTCTATATATCAGATTTTAAGAGGGGCTAGGGAATTTGTCTTGCGGCCGCATTTGCATATTCTTCAACAAAATATTGAGAAACACCCACCTATCACCCTTCAATAGACTCAGTTCATTTGGGGGTACTTTGTTAGGAAAGATGATAGACATTATCAAGGGGCCTAAAATTCTTTACAGATGTCATCTCAATCCATGACAAACTTAAAGTAGGAATTTACAATTGTTTTAGTTTGGGTTAACATTAGTTTTAACAAATCCCCAAATCTCTGAGCTCTAACAGGATTAAAAGCTGATTTCTCACTCACTTCAGTCTATTCTGAGTAATCCTGGGTACGCAGCCTTCTGTGTGATGTAGGAATCTAGGCTCCTTCCACCTATGCCTATGCCCTCCTCTAAGTTTTCAGAATTCTCTCCTTTCAGTAGTTGGTTGGGGAAAGAATTGGTAGGGAAATCACCCACTTCTTAACCACTCTGGTCAGGGACAGTCACTTCTGCTCACACCCCATTGGTGAGAATCAGTCACATGTGGCCACAAGGGGGACTTGGAAATGTAGGTGCTGACTGGGCAGCCACACACCTGCACTGTGGATGGGTGGCCAGCCAGCGGCCTCTGCCACAAGAACTGTCCTTATTACAGCTGGAGAGAGCAAGGCTTAGGGGGCTGAGCTAACTAGTCTAAGGGCAGAACCAACAGGGGGTTGACTGTAGACTTTGCCTTTTTAATGATTACTCCAAACTGCCTCTGACAGTGGCCACTGACCATCGGGGAAAGAAGAATAAGGCATAAGGAGAAAAGGCTTCCTTGATTCATCTCTCTTCTCTATCGGGGGGCACTCTCAGGATGGAGTTCTCGAGTCCCACACGTTCTCATTTCTGCCAGGTTTGCAGTTGAATTCCCAGGATGCCGGAAAACAGAACTGCAGAGCCCCATGGTCTATTGTGAAAGTGTCTCATCCACCCATCTCTTCATGGCAAGCCCATTTATTTTGACTCTGCCACACAGGTGAGTTGGTTCTACTTTTCAGGGTCTCTAGAGAAGTAGACAGATGCTTCCTCCATAACCCACTCCAGTGTTTCAGTGTTCTGTTCCTATAGTAGACGCTGGGGTACACAACCCAGCTCCCCCGTCATGGGCCAGTGCATGCATCCCGCAGCTGCTATAAGTGTTGGCTGCTATGGGATCTCAGCTGCACCCTCCTCAAGAATTGTCCTCAGCCCACGGGGACCTCCTCACTCAGAGACACTTGGGAGATTATTGTCCCCTCACCCTCTCAGGGGTGGTCTGCCCCAGTGCCTGATTGATACTGAGGCCTAAAATTCTGGTCCACTTGCCTTGAGGTGACACAATTCCTTGATGTTATATAAGCTCCAGAGTTCCCTCTGGGATCAGGCTGAGGCTAGACTTGAGGGGAACCCACATCTTTATCTTCTTCTCCTGCTCTAACCCACTTCCCTAAGTGCCTTACTTTCTCCTCCCGAAATCTCTCCCAGAAGACCACCAATCTCTGCTTTTAGGGAACCAGGTCGAAGACAGTGCCCAAGCAGGGAACACTTATTCTTCTAACCAGAAGCCTGCATCCTTGGAGGTCATAGCAAACAGCTGATCACTCTTTACAACTACTTTATAATTTGAAGACTTTTAAAATGCCCGCTTTTCTCCCACTTTCTTTTCTTTAGAAAGAATTCTAGCTTTGTTAACCACTGTTCAGTTCTTTTTTTTAATATCTGTGCCTCCAGGGATCACTATCTTCCCACGGGCCTTGAGGGTCTTCACTCCTCCAGGGGTAATCAGACTGTCTCCAATTTGCTTTATTAAGCCATCTTCCATGTAAATGTCAGCATAAAAGGACTGATCATCGTTGATGATTCTGCCTCCCTTGATGAGAAGACGGTCACTCCCCAGTGAAGAGAAAGGTACTTGCAAAACTGTCTGTGCTCTATCAAAATGACTTGTGATTTCTTAAGCTCTATGGTTTCAGTTTTAATGTCAACATCACTGCCCAGAACATGGGAGTCTAGAATTGACCCATTTAACAGGAAATGGGCTAATGGAAGGATTATTCTGTAGAGCATCATTACTACAACCAACCGTAACAATGGTGAATGGTTTTACCATCTCAAAAGACTTTCCAGAGACTTCCCTGTTGGCGCAGTGGTTAAGAACCCGCCTGCCGATGCAGGGGGCACGGGTTCGAGCCCTGGTCCGGGAAGATCCCACTTGCCGTGGGGCAACTGAGCCCACGCTCCACAGCTACTGAGCCTGCGCTCTAGAGCCCGTGAGCCACAACTACAGAGACTGTGTACCACAACTACTGAGCCTGAGCCCTAGAGCCCACGAGCCACAACTACTGAAGCCCGTGCGCCTAGAGCCCGTGCTCCACAACAAGAGAAGCCACCACGATGAGAAGCCCGTGCACCACAATGAAGAGTAGCCCCCGCTCGCTGCAACTAGAGAAAGCCCACGCACAGCAATGAAGAACCAACATGGCCAAAAATAAATAAATAAACTTATTAAAAAAAACCCAACTTTCCCATCTTTATGTCATTTAGCCATCATAACTCTGTAGGAGGAAGTTTTATTTATTTATTTTTAAAGAGAAGATTTGAGTAAATAGAGGTGAAGTGTGTTGCTTAAGTTCATGGAGCTAAAGGCATAATTAGCATGGCAAAGACCGGAAAGAGGGGTTCTAACCTCCAGGCCTGGGCTCGTTTTATGACTTTCATCCCTTCCCTGATCTATACCCTTCCTATAGGGATTTTATGATGCTGTATCAGTGAGGAACTGTGTTCGGCTGACTATAAGAGAGCCCTAAGAATAAAGACCCCCAGGCTTTCTCTTCTCACACACAAGGAAGTCTGGGAGGGAAGCAGCCTGGGGCTGTAGGCAGCTTCACAAAGTCATCAGAGACTTGAAATCCTTCGACTTTCTGTCCTACCATTTGGGCTCTTGAGGGTCCTTTGACCCATCTTTCTTGGCCCAAGATGGTTGCTGGAGCCCCAGCCGTCATAGGTGAGTTCCAGGCAGTGAGGTGGAGGAAGGAAAGAAGAAAGGCGTGCTCCTTCCCTTTAAGGAGATTTCTGGGAAGTCTCACATGGCACTTCTGTTCACTTCTCATTGGCCAGACAATACGCTTACACCTAGAGGGTAATGAAGCTCAAACCCCAGAGTTGTTCATTGCCAGGGTCCCTTCCAGATGTTTATGCCTAATTTTGTATTATTCTCAGTCACCTCCGGGAACAATTTATTAAGCCTTACTATGTGCAAGTCACTCTCCTGGGCATAGAAAGGAGACCAAAGCAGGACTGGATGTAGGTCAGAATCACTAGCAGCTCTTGGCACAGCCCTGAGGATTCTGATGTGCTCCTGTAGGCAGACTGTCACGTGTCATCTTCTCTCCACCATCACCTTGATTTATGGGGGCGGGGGGAGGTGATGGGTGGTACCGTCAGGAGGGTGCTGTGCGTGTTTAGAGGAAAGATCAAGGATCACGGATCTAGGAGGGCATCTCATCCGTAGCTGGCGTATTTTAGGAAACATGCATAGTCTATTTGTTTAGTTGTGCCCCACTTACTTCTGAAAAGGAAAAAAAAACACCTTCTTCACCATGATTAAAATGAAGGTAGGGCTTCCCTGGTGGCGCAGTGGTTGAGAGTCCGCCTGCCGATACAGGGGACACGGGTTCGTGCCCCGGTCCGGGCAGATCCCACATGCCGTGGAGCGGCTGGGCCCGTGAGCCATGGCCACTGAGCCTGCGTGTCTGGAGCCTGTGCTCCGCAACGGGAGAGGCCACAGCAGTGAGAGGCCGGAGTACCGCAAAAAAAAAAAAAGAAGGTAAAGATGGTAAATGGAAGATCAGAGGGAGAAGCTAGGTTGGAGCTTTTTAGCTGTCTTGGTTAAAACAGAGAGTTGCAAGAATCCGTTATTATGACTATCCAGCAAGAGGGGCAGGCCGTTCAGTGGGAGACAGAGTGCTTTCCTTAGCATTGAACTCTATGAGATTTATTGTGACAGATTTGTTTTCGAGGCATTAAACATACATTGTATGATGTGTAATAATAACTTTGCAGAAAGCGGGGAGATAGTCTTCAAGGAGTTATTTCTTATATCAAGCCTGGAAAAGACTGGAGTTAAATTTTTAAATACCATGTTTTGTTGGATCTAAGACACCACTGATAACAGATACACTACTATTTTGTGTGTCACTAAGAAAGGGAAAACATTGCCAAATAAATTATGACTTCCCATAGTTGGTGATGCATTCTAATTTAAAAGGCGTTAAAATGTGAAAAAGCTCCCCTTAATATCAGTGGTATGTGGTACTCATTTAATGAATACATGTCTGCAGAGAGATACAGTAGCATAATATAGAATGTAAGCTTTTTCATGACATGAGTTAACACAGAGGTAGAATTTAAAGAACGTTCATCTGGGATGTTCTGCTAACTGGGAAGAGATGTTTTCAACCATGCAAGAAAAAAACCCTAAGAATCGCATACCTAGTTCAGTGACCAAACTGTCTGAAGTAGCCTTCTGGAGGTCTGAGTTGACATGGGCACCTATGAGACACAGGTTGGCCACAGAACCAGGTTTGGGGCTCTAAAGCTTTGTCCTGGGGGATGTTGACATTCGCCCTTAATTTGTATGGGACCTTGGGTTACTTAACCTATTTCTCTGAAACAATGCCTATTGTATGGAGAAGATCAAATAAATTAGTCACTTTATTTATTTTTGCGGTATGCTGGCCTCTCACTGTTGTGGCCTCTCCCATTGCGGAGCACAGGCTCCGGACGCGCAGGCTCAGCGGCCATGGCTCATGGGTCCAGCCACTCCGCGGCACGTGGGGTCTTCCCGGACCGGGGCACGAACCCGTGTCCCCTGCATCGGCAGGCGGACTCTCAACCACTGCACCACCAGGGAAGTCCCAATGACTGATGTCTTTATGAGAGAGAGGACACAGAGACAGACACAAGGAAGAGGGCCATGTGACAACAGAGGCAGAGATTAGAGGGATGTAGCTACGAGCCCAGAAAGGCAAGGAAGCCACCAGAAGCTAGGAAGAGGCAAGGAAGGAGTCACCCTGAGAGACTTCAAAAGGGGCATGGCCCCGCTGACATCTTCATTTCATAATTCCAGCTCCTAGAGGAACTGTGGGAGAACAGGTTTCTGCTGTTTTGAGCTGCCTGGTTTGTGGCATTTGGTTATGGTAGCCCTGGGAAATGAATACAGGGTTCAAAGGAGAGTGTTCATGGCATTTAAGGTTAGGAAAATCAGCTGTCTGAGAATCTAAAGCCTAGAACAAGAGAAAAAACACTTATTGTTCTTGAGTCCAAGCTTAATGTGTTTTTCATAAAGGAAAGTAAGCAGCTGTTTTCTATGCCTACCCTGGAAAGAACGAGAAATGGCCACCTGGAAAGCTTTCCACTAGGAGTCTAGTTGTGGCTTTAGTTCTGCATCTGTTGGGCTACTGGGCTGTAAGCAAGCATCTTCACTATCTAGTACTTTAGTCTTCTCAACTGTTATATGAAGGGATTGGACCAGATGAGCTAGAAGATGTCATCTAGCTCTAAACTTGTATTATTCTTGTTGGTTTATCTATGGTGATGAAAAATTTCTGGATAGAAGGGAGACGTTCCAATGTCCCAATGGATTACCAAATAGTATTATGGATTTTCTTCTTTGGAACTAGTTGTGAATAGGATCAATCTGATAGCTGCAACTTGGGCAGTCAACTATGTGCTGTGTAATATCCCTTTAAAACAGGAAATTTCCAAATTCAAATGCCTTCAGGAACCAGACAGCAAAAGAAGTGCGTTGAGCAACTGGATGCAATAAAACAGGGAGTGGTGGGGGCTGTGGCCAAGACTAGGTGTTGTAGACTAGGGAGTGGTGGGGGCTGTGGCCAAGACTAGGTGTTGTAGACTAGGGAGTGGTGGGGGCTGTGGCAAATTACAGGGCTCCTACGCCTTTACAAGGAAGCAATCATTGCTTAGCTCCAGCAAGTTGTTGCCAAGCAGCAATGCGGACTGAGTGTGCCAAATCTTCAGATTTTTCAAAGGAAGCCGGAATATAAATGTGAAGTCTCTCAAATCTTAAACCTTTTAGTAACTGACTTAAATTTAAAAATTAGCACTACTGTACCAACAAAACACTTCTATTGACTCAATGTGGTCCCCCAAGTTACCAGTTTGTAACCTTTGCTTTAGCGCCTTGGAGTCAGTGTTTACTAAAACTAATAAACAGCTTAATGAAATACCCAAAGCATTTTAACATCCCTTTTTGAACATTTATATGGGAAAAATAGTTTTGGGGGTATCCTAAGAATGCATGATATTATCTTTATTTTGTGGTTAAGGAAACCAAAGGGAAACAAGCTTCCATTACTTAAGAGAGCTGTAAGTACAACTTAGATTTAGAAGATAGATTTGCTGACTCTGTACGGGGTACTTCTTCCATCAGCTCCTTCTGCCATTCATAGTAATGAGAGGGCACCAGGCGAAAGTTATTTGCATTGACGTGCCCACGTGCACATGGATTTTGGTACTGGAAGCAGCTCAAAGCTATAAATATTATCTTAAGAGAAACGGTAGCTTGTGTCTGAACTTTGTTATATAGCAAGGAAAGAAAATGGGAAATTTGGTGTTGGTTCAAGTTATCTTGCAATTATAGGATGTGGTTGAAATTGTAAGGACCAAAATATCATAAGAAGTAGAAAAGGTCATATGAGATAGTAATTGGAAAACAATCAGAAAAGCAAAAGGGAAAATATGAGAAAGGGATCCCAGGGGCAATTACATATGGCTATTATCACTTACAGATGACAGTATTCATCTGTGATGGTTAATCTTATGTGTCAGTTTGACTGGGCTAAGGGATACCCAGAGAGCTGGTAAAACATTATTTCTGGGTGTGTCTGTGAGGCTGTCTCTGGAAGAGATTAGCATTTGAATTAGGAGACTGAGTAAAGAAGATGGCCCTCACGGATCCAGGCGGGCATTGTTCAATACATTGAGAGTCTGAATAGAACAAAAAGGCCGAGGAAGGGTGAATTTGCTCTCTGCCTGAGCTGAGACATCCACCTTCTCCTGCCCTCACACATTGGTGCTTCTGGTTCTTGGGCCTTGGGACTCAGACCGGGACTGACTCCATTGGTTCCCCTAGTTC